TTTGGCGGGGAGGTGGTGGGGTGGTCGGGGAGGGGGGCTGAGACAAAGGCCTTTCTCCGCGATCCACATCTTGTTTGCAGAAAATTGCAACTGATATCCCTTCTTTTCTTTTCTTCTTTTGTTTCTTACACTTTCCTTCCTTCTCTCTTGTTTTGCGGGGGGGGGGGTGAGGCAACAGCATGGGCGGCAAGGCCCTTTCGGCCCCCGATCTCCTTCTTTCCTCCCTTTTTTCTTCTTCCTTTCCTCTTCTCTCTTCTTTCCCTTTCCCTTCTTTTCCTTCCTTCTCTCTCTCTCTCTCTCTCTCTCTCTCTTTTGTTTGCCGGGGGAGGGCAGGCGAAGGCCTTTCGCCCCCGATCCACACCGCGTTGGTGGGAAAAATCACAATTGATCTCCCGTACTTTTTTCCCCCCTTTCCCTTCTCTTCCTTTCTCTCTCTTTTAAGTTTGCTGTAGAAGGGGGGGGGGGGGGGTCAAGGGCCATTTGCCCCCCCCCCCCGATCCCCAACTTGTTGGCGGGAAAACTGCATCTGATATCCCCCTTCTTTTCTTTCTTTCTCTTTATCTCCTTCTTTTCCCCCTTTTCTTTTCTTCTTCCTCTTCTTCCTTTCCCTTACTCTCCGCTTTACCTTCTCTCTCTATCTGACTCTCTCTCTATCTCTCTCTCTCTCTTTATTTTTGTTGGCGGTTTGGGGTCAAGAACCTCTCGTCCCGCCCCCCCCCCCCCCCCCCCCCACCCTCCACCATGGACCCGCGCCGGGAAGACCTGTAGTGTGGTCCCTAGCCAGCTGGCAAAGCTGAATATGGGTTTTGCAGTCGTTTCATTCATTAAGTATAATTATACTTGTATTAGTGGGGGCTGTTAGGGATATTTTGGTGCAGATTCTTCTAAAAGCACAAAATTTGCCCCAGAGGTAGATTATACCATACTATTACGATTTCTGTCAGACGCCAAGAAGGGCGCTCTCTGGGACTGCCATATACACCAGTTTACAGTTGTGTGCGCCATTTTAAACAAAGCCAATGACCTAGAGGTCATGTATTTATGCGTAAATTAAGATTGCGCCCATGCAAATTATGATGATATCACTGCCTGCGCGCTGCGTTGTGCGCGCATATCATCATTTGCATGGGCGCAATCTTATTTTACGCATAAATACCAGAGGTCAGAGGTTATTGGCCCCAATTTTGGGGCCAATAACCTCTGACCTCTGTCTGCTCATGCGCACTGATACAACTGTAAACTGGTGTATTGGGCAAATCCAAAATGGCCGCCATCTGAGTTAAAGGTCAAGCGTAGTTCCAAAAGGAAAAGCGCTTGTATGATTATAGTTTATATATTTATAGGGTTTTGGGGGTCAGAGAATTTGATTTTGATGTTCTTTCATTGATTTGAGGTCTCCTTGGGGCTGCCTTACTGGTCATATTGGTCAAATCCAAAATGGCCGCCATCTGAGTTACAGGTCAAGTATAGTTATGAAAGGAAATGGGCTAGTATGATAAAAGTTGATGAATTCATTGGGTTTCCGGGGTCTGATAATCTGATTATGATGTTCTTTTATCCATAAGCGAGTTCGTAATTGCACACTCCGCATATGCGCCAAAATCGGGAACGAACTTTTACAAAGGTCACATGAGCATAAAGAGAGCTGAGAGAGAAACTTTAATTTTTTGTGTGTGCTGGCCTTTCCTTTGTGAATGATCACATCTGACACATCAGTCAGCGAAAATCATTTCTGAATGTCGGAATTGGTTCTTTATAGTAAACTTTACTTGAAATCTGGTCATCGGAAAAGTATTATCGGCATTATCGTGATCCAAGTCCCCAGGGACTCGACCTTTATGTCTAGACGTTGCATAATGCAATTCGTATTGTTATTATTCCATCTCAGAGTGATTATAGACGTTATTTTTTAAGGATAATAAAGATAAAGCTGTCTGGGTTTTTAAAGATAATGCTTCAAAACAAATCGAACAAGCTATTTATTTCGTTATTCATGGTTTGTTTCTACTGTTTATCTATTTTCATTGCCAACCATCGAAAACGAATTTATTATGCATTTCACAGAGGAAGTTTGCATAGGAGAACTATGCTTTCTAATGCATCCGTACAATATGGCACAGCTTTAGGGCCTGGGAGAGCCCCCACCGGGGGTTCCGGGGCGGAGCCCCAGGATGCTCTCGAGTTAATTTGACTTTCAAGAGAAAGTGTCTCTAAGATATGAGGAGAGGTTATTCTTAAATGAAGTGGAAAAACTCTTGAAAATAAAATAGCCCTTTCAGTTTTATTTCATTTTAGAAATAAACTCTAATCCATCCTTTGATATTTAAATTGCACTGCTCCTACTTCGTGCTTTGTTCACACTCTCCCTGATCTATAAAGGGTGATTTCTTTATTTGATCATCAACAGAAGCAAAATGCTAGGCCACGAACTTTTCGAAGCGTGACCAGATTCAAAGTATGCTTAAATGGGGGCATTGATGTATGTAGAAAAAACAGGATTAAGATCCCATTCAACGCTTCGAAATTTAAAAGAAGAATAAGAAAAATAAAGTTGAGATTTCACCTTTATGTCTAGACGTTGCATAATGCAATTCGTATTGGTATTATCTTCCATCTGAGAGTGATTATAGACGTTATTTTTTAAGGACAATAAAGATAAAGCTGTCCGGGTTTTTAAAGATAATGCTTCAAAACAAATCGAACAAGCTGTTTATTTCTTTATTCATGGTCTGTTTCTACTGTTTATCTATTTTCCTTGCCAATCCTTGAAAACGAATTTATTATGCATTTCACAGAGGAAAGTTTGCATACTGATGAAACATTATGGGCGCAGGCCAAGATTTAAACCCACTCAAGTGTGAATTTGGCGCATCTTCCCTCATCTTCTTCAACAAGGAAATGGACTTTATTGTAGCCTTAGGACAGGATGGTGAAATAAAATTGATAAAAAACATCATAATCAGATTATCGGACCCCGGAAACTCCATGAATTCATCAACTTTTATCATACTGGTCCTTTTCCTTTTGAAACTACTCTTGACCTTTAACTCGGATGGCGGCCATTTTTTATTTGGCCAATATGCATGACAGCCCCAAGGAGACCTGCAATTGATACAAGCAACATCATAATCAGATTCTCTGACCCAGAAAACCCCCTTACTATATAATTTTTTTAATTTTTTTTAAAATCATTTTAGCTCTTTTCCTTTTGGAACTACTATGATCTGTAACTATCAGATGGCGGCCATTTTGGATTTGACCAATATTACCAGTATGACCCGAGAAGATCTCAAATCGATGAAAGAATATCATAATCAGATTCTCTGACTCCGAAAACCCCATAAATATATAAACTTTTATCATACTAGCCCATTTTCTTTCGTAACTACACTTGACCTGTAACTATCAGATGGCGGCCATTTTGGATTTGACCAATATGACCAGTATGGCAGACCCTAGGAGACCTCAAATCGATGAAGGAACATCAAAATCAGTTTCTCTGACCCCCAAAACCCCATAAATATATAAACTATTATCATACAAGCGCTTTTCCTTTTGGAACTACGCTTGACCTTTAACTCAGATGGCGGCCATTTTGGATTTGCCCAATATGGCATACCCAGAGGGTGCCCTTCTTGGCGTCCGGAAGAAATCGTAAAAGTATGGTATAATCTACCTCTGGGCCAAATTTGATGCTTTTAGAATAATCTGCACCAAACAACCCCTATTTAGCCCTAACAGCCTCCACTATATTGACTATGTAATGTGTGGACTAGAGTACGGACATTCGGTGCGGCAGGCGGACTATTGGTGCGAGACCTCTTCCGCACGGATTGTCCGTCAGACATTTGAGGCGCGCACGGAATGTCCGACACGGACATTCTGCGCGGATAAAATCTGCACCGATCGTCCGCTCTCGATCGATCTCTAATAGTCGGAAGATCGGTGCGGGTTACATAATAGGGGGGGGGGGGTTATAACAATATTAATTCATTCAATATAATTGAGATTACTGTATTTTGTACTCTGTAATTGGTTCCAATATGTTATATATTACAATTTGTATGAATTAATATTATTTATTGAGTGAATACAATAAAGAATATTACAAAACAAAAAAAAAAAACATTCTACGCGGTTACACCGGCGCGGATCCACAGGGGGGGGGGGGGGGGGGGGGGGGGCTGGCTTTTTTTGTATAGATATATCTATTTTACCCCCCCCCCCCACTTTGCGAAATTTTAGTCGGCATTTCACATTTCAGCTATTTCAGCCCCCCCCCCCCCCCCAATCGACTAGACCCGATCAGGGCTTTTAAAAAAAAAAAAAAATTAAAATTATTTTGTGTGTTGGAACAAATTAAGTTGCCCGCCACTACTGATCACAGAGACATTCTTAACTCAGCCCATTAAATGGATTTGAAGATATCCTGGGCCAACTATAGTACTTAAAACTGCTAAAAATTCACAACTTTCTATTTTTTTTGTACGATTTGATTTAAAGCTTTCATCAGTCTACTAATTCTCTATATTTTCTGATTTCCTCTGGAGCAGTGTGTTATCATGGTTGGGTGTCCTTTGGCATATATACAAAGTATTATTCTAAAAGTCAATGCCGATGAGCGCAATTTTATCCGACAAATAAAGTTGAGAAGTGACGACATCATAGTCTTCTCTGCCCACGTGTATTATTCCTTCATAAAGTAATCAGTATTCTCATATCACTAAAGAAAGAAAAAGAAAGAAAGAAATTGATTAATACATAGGGTCTAGAGAAAGATAAAGAAATTGATAAAGAAATAAATAAATTAATAAATAAACAATTGATTAAATAACTTATTAAATAAATGAAATATAGATAAACAGATAAGTAATAAAGAGAAAGAGAGAGGCATAAAGAGAGTGAATAAATAATAGTCAAAACTCTTCTTCGGAGTATTTAGGAGGAAAAGAATCCAAGATCGAAGAGCCACAAGTTGCTTTCCATAGCCTTACCAGCCTAGGTCACGAGAGGTCAGGTTATTAAAACGCATATCTGGAAACATGGCGGAGCCCACGGAATCTTCGGGAACCTCTACAAAAGATCTCATCAGCGTCGTTGTGAAGACACCTAAAGACAAAGAAACCATAGAGATAAATCCTGATTCTACGATCAAAGAGGTAATTATACATGAGCAAAATGATTGAATATTTACCATGGCAATGGGAAGTTTAAGCTTTTGCTTAATCATGATCATTTGATCCAGCTGCGTTACACAAGTTGCAGTGTATTGATTGGCATTGCAGTGGCTGTGCAGAGTGTGAGCCAAGACTGCGAATGGGAGTGACTGTACGTGTATTTTGATTTGAACGACGCGATGATGATGAGTTGACCAATCTTCTCGCATATTGAAATGTTTTTGGGAATGTGAATTTTTATCCATAATTTTCCACATTCAGAAAAATCTCAGGTAATTGTACAGATAGGCAAATTCATGCAAAAAAATATATTCAAAAAATTGACTTGAAAACACATCAGACAAATTAGTCTGAACCGAGTCAGGAGCAGATTTGGAGAAATTACATTTTTAAATGTTGTAAAACCAAAGATTTAAGAAGAAGACTGACCAAGTATCTGTACTAAAAATCGTACATGTAAAATTGGTCTTACACATTCGACAGCTGAAAATGACGCGCACGGTTGCGTTACGTGCGTTCTCGAATCCAAAATCATACCTCACACACACACACTCTCGCCATACCGCGAATGGTCCGTCGTGGGGAGCTAGCCGGCTGAGAGTTTGCAGCGATACCAACGCAGCTTCGGAGCTCCGCAGCGCGCCATTTTAGTGGGACTCGGAAAGGTTCGTGGTGGGAAGGCAGCGGCCTAGCTTTTTGCCCAAACATCGCTAGATCGGCTGCTGGCAAAATGAAAATAACTACGATCGAGAACATCGTCGGTTTCTTAACTTTTCAGTGAGATAATTCTGAATTCTAATTGAGACTATATAATAAATTAAATCGACAAAGAAACCTCGGTAGAACTCTTATAATTGTACAAAAGCTTGTTTATTTCTTCATTTGACATTTTGTTTTCGACCATTTTTTCGTGCGCGAGTCAATGCAAACTATGTATTACCAAACTTTCAACACGCAAGGAACGGGGAACACTCGCGGACCTCGTATCAAATTCGTTACAAAAAAAAAATTCAAGGGTGATTTTGAAGCAGTGAAGAATATTGGCGCTGCAATGCGCAGAAATATACTTGAAAGAAACTTTAAAAATCATACCTGAATTTTCAGAAAATCGTATCTGTATTAGTGTACTTAGATGTGACTTGTTTATAACTCAGATTTTATGAAGATTTGTCGGGAAAAAATGTCAATTTTTTCCGTTTGGTGGTCATTTCTAGGCTAATATTTTAAAAGTTACTTCAGTAATGGTCCTGATGTTTCTTTTATCATACTCGCATGTTATTTCTACGTAGATTAAACATAGGATGGCTAAGGGTAAGACCGGATAACACTATAAAAAAGATATATCCTTCCAACCTCCCATATCTACGGAGCCCCGGAAGTGACATGGAGAATTTTTTTTTTTCTCGTTTTCCTGAGATAAATTCTCGTTTTCCTGAGATAATTTTTCGTTTTCCTGAGATAAATTCTCGTTTTCCTGAGATAATTTTTCGTTTTCCTGAGATAATTCCCGTTTTCCTGAGATAAATTCTCGTTTTCCTGAGATAAATTCTCGTTTTCCTGAGATAATTTTTCGTTTTCCTGAGATAATTCCCGTTTTCCTGAGATAAATTCTCGTTTTCCTGAGATAAATTCTCGTTTTCCTGAGATAATTTTTCGTTTTCCTGAGATAAATTCTCGTTTTCCTGAGATAATATTTCGTTTTCCTGAGATAATTCCCGTTTTCCTGAGATAAATTCTCGTTTTCCTGAGATAATTTTTCGTTTTCCTGAGATTATTCTCGTTTTCCTGAGATAATATTTCGTTTTCCTGAGATAATTCCCGTTTTCCTGAGATAATATTTCGTTTTCCTGAGATAAATTCTCGTTTTCCTGAGATAAATTCTCGTTTTCCTGAGATAATTTTTCGTTTTCCTGAGATAATTCCCGTTTTCCTGAGATAAATTCTCGTTTTCCTGAGATAAATTCTCGTTTTCCTGAGATAATTTTTCGTTTTCCTGAGATAAATTCTCGTTTTCCTGAGATAATATTTCGTTTTCCTGAGATAATTCCCGTTTTCCTGAGATAAATTCTCGTTTTCCTGAGATAATTTTTCGTTTTCCTGAGATAATTCCCGTTTTCCTGAGATAAATTCTCGTTTTCCTGAGATAAATTCTCGTTTTCCTGAGATAATTTTTCGTTTTCCTGAGATAAATTCTCGTTTTCCTGAGATAATATTTCGTTTTCCTGAGATAATTCCCGTTTTCCTGAGATAAATTCTCGTTTTCCTGAGATAATTTTTCGTTTTCCTGAGATAAATTCTCGTTTTCCTGAGATAATATTTCGTTTTCCTGAGATAAATTCTCGTTTTCCTGAGATAATATTTCGTTTTCCTGAGATAATATTTCGTTTTCCTGAGATAAATTCTCGTTTTCCTGAGATAATATTTCGTTTTCCTGAGATAATATTTCGTTTTCCTGAGATAAATTCTCGTTTTCCTGAGATAATATTTCGTTTTCCTGAGATAAATTCTCGTTTTCCTGAGATAATATTTCGTTTTCCTGAGATAAATTCTCGTTTTCCTGAGATAATATTTCGTTTTCCTGAGATAATTCCCAACCAATACATGTTGCATAACTTTCGAAACCCCAGACATCGTTTGTTATATGATCACAGATTTCCCGATTTTCTTGATCGATTTTAATTTGTTTAAAACTTGAACATTTCATAGCTTTCTTATTTCATATCCGATTTTCCTCAAACTTTTATTAATCACTTTGTCTTATTTGTCTCCTTTTATTAAAATATAAATATTCTTAGGGTGGCCTTCCCCTTTAAGGCCCTTTTGGAATTGATAATTATCTTCATAAATATATCGAATTTCGACAATTGAATGTTGAGACCTACAAGGTGATGTGAATAACTGAATACCAGGCGCGGATCCAGGGGGGGGCCGAGCGGGCCTTGGCCCCTCCCCCCCCCCCCCCCGCAAAAAAAAAAAAGAGAGAGAGAAGAAAGGAAAAGAAGGGAAAGAGAAAGAAGAGAGAAAGGGAAAGAAAGAAGAGGAAGAAGAAAAGAAAAGGGGGAAGAAGGAGATTGGGGAAGGCGAAAGGGCCTTGCCTCCCAGGCTGTTGACCCCCCCCCCCCCCAATCAAAAAAATAAGAGAGAAGGAAGGAAAGGGAAAGAAAAAAGGAAAAGAGGAGATACTGGCGTACTGATAGGGGGGGCTTGGGGGAAATCAAATTCAAACGTGGTTTATTTCTAATTCTACAACGGTGGATTACAAATAATGCTGAAATGACATAATTTCCGAGATTTTTCCTCACTTTTTAGTTGATTCCTACATGTCAGGGCCCGAGGTACGGCGGGGATCGGGAGCCCCGAGCCCCCCCCTACTTTTTTGAAAAAGTATATTAAAGAGAAATAAAATAGAATGAGAGCAAGAAAGAAAGAATAGTTAACTGCCAGTGTTGAAAAATAATGAGGCATCAAAATATGCTCATCTGACCGTGATTAATGCCTAAAACCCCTAAGCTTCCAGGGGCTCTGCCCCCTGGATTTCACCTATGGCCCTACGGCGGGCCCTTAGATGCTCATCTGACGGTAATTTAATGCCTAAAACCCTTGATATTTTGGGGCTCCGCCCCCTGGACCCCACACCAAATAGTGACGTGCCAGTCTCACAAAATAATAAGGTATACAAAAAAATGCTCATCTGACCTTAATTAAACGCCTAAAACCCCTAAGCTTCCGGGGCCGGCTCCGCCGCCTCGACCCCCTTCCCCCAGGGGCCCTAAGACGGCCCCTGATTCAGACAAGGATTAAGAGTATAGAGAACGATACAACGCATCGTCTTCTTTCTCTAATAATATAATGAAACGTCAAAGCTTCGCGCAGGAGGGGAGGGGGGGGGGGGACTGAATTCAGACAAGGATTAAGAATCGAGAACGGTACAACGAATCGTCTTCTTTCTCTCATAATCTTATGAAACGTCAAAGTTTCCGCGCTTCGTGCGGGAGGGGGGAACCTGAATTCAGACGAGGATTCAGAGGCGAGAACGGTAATACGAATCTTTAATGATTTAATGAAAGGTAAAAGCTTCCGCGCTTCGCGCGGGATGGAGGGGGAACTAAATTCCGATGAGGATTATTTTCGAGAACGGTACAACGAATCGTCTATTTTCTCTAATTAATGAAACGTAAAAGCGTCCGCGCTTCGCGCGGGAGGAGGGGGTTGGGGGAGAATCTAAATTTAGACGAGGATTATTTTCGAAAACGGTACAACGAATCGTCTTCTTTCTCTAATGATTTAAGGAAATTTAAAAGCTTTCGCGCTTCGCATGGGAGGGGGGAACCTAAATTCAGACGAGGATTAAGAGTCGAGAACTCGACAACGAATCGTCTCCTTTCTCTAATAATTTAATAAATCGTAAAAGCTTCCGCGCTTCGCACGGGAGGGGGGAACCTAAATTCAGACGAGGATAAAGAGTCGAGAACTCGACAACGAATCGTCTTCTTTCTCTAATAATTTAATAAATCGTAAAAGCTTCCGCGCTTCGCACGGGAGGGGGGAACCTAAATTCAGACGAGGATAAAGAGTCGAGAACTCGACAACGAATCGTCTTCTTTCTCTAATAATTTAATAAATCGTAAAAAATTCCGCGCTTCGCACGGGAGGGGGAAAACTAAATTCAGACGAGAATTATTTTCGAAAACGGTACAACAAATCGTCTTTTTTCTCTAATAACGTCAAAGCTTCCGCGTTTCGCGGAGGAGGGAGGGGGAAAATCGCCCCTCCCTGCACCGACCCCCCCCCCCCCGCATTACGTCACTGTTGGTCACCATTACGTACCAATATTTGGCTCGCAAAATTTCAAATTTGGGCCCCCCCCCTAAGAAATCCTGGATCCGCGCCTGCTGAATACCCCCCTAAAACTGGATTTAGACCCTAGGCTGACGGCCGTCGGCCTCGTGGGCTGTCCCCTATTGTAATCGGGCAGTCTGTTAATAAAGTGTTCTTGAATCAAGATAGATTTATCATCCAAATTGGTATTGTACCTAAATTTGTACGAGTAAGACTAGTGTCTTTTATTTGTTAATTGCGCTCTTCGCTCGCTCGCAATTTACAGTAAATATATATGACATCGTACTCAGGGGGGGGGGGGGCATTCAGATGCCAAAACGTTATAAAATTAGAAGAAAATTGTATTTTTTCAATTCATTTTAAACTGTTCATTTTACAACGGAATTTATATCAGGAAAACGAAATATTATCTCAGGAAAACGAGAATTTATCTCAGGAAAACGAAATATTATCTCAGGAAAACGAGAATTTATCTCAGGAAAACGAAATATTATCTCAGGAAAACGAGAATTTATCTCAGGAAAACGAAATATTATCTCAGGAAAACGAGAATTTATCTCAGGAAAACGAAATATTATCTCAGGAAAACGAGAATTTATCTCAGGAAAACGAAATATTATCTCAGGAAAACGAGAATTTATCTCAGGAAAACGAAATATTATCTCAGGAAAACGAGAATTTATCTCAGGAAAACGGGAATTATCTCAGGAAAACGAAATATTATCTCAGGAAAACGAGAATTTATCTCAGGAAAACGAAAAATTATCTCAGGAAAACGAGAATTTATCTCAGGAAAACGGGAATTATCTCAGGAAAACGAAATATTATCTCAGGAAAACGAGAATTTATCTCAGGAAAACGAAAAATTATCTCAGGAAAACGAGAATTTATCTCAGGAAAACGAGAATTTATCTCAGGAAAACGGGAATTATCTCAGGAAAACGAAAAATTATCTCAGGAAAACGAGAATTTATCTCAGGAAAACGAGAATTTATCTCAGGAAAACGAAATATTATCTCAGGAAAACGAGAATTTATCTCAGGAAAACGGGAATTATCTCAGGAAAACGAAATATTATCTCAGGAAAACGAGAATTTATCTCAGGAAAACGAAAAATTATCTCAGGAAAACGAGAATTTATCTCAGGAAAACGGGAATTATCTCAGGAAAACGAAATATTATCTCAGGAAAACGAGAATTTATCTCAGGAAAACGAAAAATTATCTCAGGAAAACGAGAATTTATCTCAGGAAAACGAAAAATTATCTCAGGAAAACGAGAATTTATCTCAGGAAAACGAGAATTTATCTCAGGAAAACGGGAATTATCTCAGGAAAACGAGAATTTATCTCAGGAAAACGAGAATTTATCTCAGGAAAACGAGAATTTATCTCAGGAAAACGGGAACTATCTCAGGAAAACGAAAAATTATCTCAGGAAAACGAGAATTTATCTCAGGAAAACGAGAATTTATCTCAGGAAAACGAAAAATTATCTCAGGAAAACGAGAATTTATCTCAGGAAAACGGGAATTATCTCAGGAAAACGAAATATTATCTCAGGAAAACGAGAATTTATCTCAGGAAAACGAGAAAAAAAAAATTTCTCCATGTCACTTCCGGGGCTCCGTACATATCCAAGTTTTGGGCTGATTATTGCCGACCCACCGCAGCAAGGCCATTCAGATTTTCGTACGCGACCGAAGCGCCCTCTAGTGCCCCATGAATGTGCCTAGTACAGATTCTGGCCAGATTAGTAAAAAAAAATCCAGAACATTTTATTTTAAAGTAAAGAAAGACTAAAATGAAATGACTAAAAAAGGTAAAAAAGTATAGACTCTAGTAAACATGATCAAAATAACTTCTTGATGCAGAATAATTAGTCCAAGGTCAACATTGAAGCTCATTTGGTCAAAATTTTAGGCGTTTTTTTCAGGACAATCCTTCATTTAATCGTGTGTACATACGTACAGCGGCTGAGAAGTGGAGGTATCACGATATTACGGTATCCACCTCATGTACAAGATCCAAAACAACACAGTAGCCATCAATGCACACCATTACACACAGCGCTCAAAATACACGGGGGCGGTGGGCGAATCGCCCCCGTGAGCTACATAATCGCCCCCGTCAGGTTGCTCACGGGGGCGATTGCAAAATTAAAAATCAGCCCCGTGGAATTGTAAAATAAAGATTATCTTTTCTGTTATAACCAATGCTCAAATTAATTTTTTGTCCACGGGGGATCCTCCCCCCCCCCCCAAAAAAAGAGCCCCCGTGAGCCTTCTCACGGGGGCTCTTTTAGTACTGACGGGCTCTTTTTTATACAAATATCCATTGAATTGGTACCTATGATACTCCTGAATTGTTTGCTATTTCGTTATTATCATTTTAATCAGCGTTTTCCCTCTTACAAATTTACAAGCTACATAGCTGTTACTCACTTTCATCCCCTGATGACATTATCTCGATTTTTTCCCGTTCTGCACATTATTTCCTCGTCATTATTCGGAGCAACCTTTACATTCTTTCTTTACTGAGCCGCGTAGCGGCGAGGCGATTTTGTGTGTGTGCTATTTTGGACAGGCGCGGATCCACGGGCCGATTCTACCGGCCCCCCCCTAGCCTCCCAAACCGGTAAAAAAAAATAGGATAGTAACGTAAATTTTACCTTAAGAAATAAAATAAAAAACGCCCTCCTGACCTGCCAGTGACACAAATGCGGCATGAAAATATTTGTGCTTTTCTGACCGTAATTAAATGCCTAAAACCCCTGAATCCCCCCCCCCACACCAATTTACGCTCGCTACCCTCTACCTGATCGTAAATACTTTAGCCCCCCACTTTGATAAACGTTCCGCGGGGCCTGTGCATATAATATATACGCATACAACACTGATCTTTATGATGTCTTCAACGTGACATATCTTCTTCTCCCCTTGCAAACGAGGAAGAAAACAAGGTCATTAAAAGGGATTAAGTGACAAATAATGATTGTGATTCAATTTGATGCGAATATTTGTTTGAATAAGCACTGCTATTCACCCAAATCTTCTTTTTAAAAACAACTTTTACAAATCGCAGCCATGCTTACTGAGTTGAGACGTTCCTTTCAATGTAAAATACTCATTAAAGAATACACTTCTCCTAATCTGAAAGTGATCTTACAACACAGTGGCAGATTTGCATGGCTGTGATTTGTAAAAGTCGTTTTTACAAAGAAGATTCTGGTGAAAAGCATTGCTTATTCAAAAAAATCCTTGCATCAATTTGAATCACAATGATTATTTGTCGCATGATCCTTTTATTAAATAACCTTGTTTTCTTTTTTGTTTGCAGGTGGAATAGAAGCTATGTCACGTTAAGAAATCATAAAGATCAGTTGTATTATGCGTATATACATATGATACCAGAACAAATGTTGATTATCAGAATGTCATTTTGGAATACCTCTATACAAATACCACATTGTCTTTAGCCCGTACCAGTATTAGTATGATCCAATTATAAAGCTATTATTCTTTATTCAGTTCATTATAATGCTTTTCCTCAAAAATAGTTTTGCTATTTTTTTTAGGGTTGAGACGCTAAGAAATGGTTTCAAATGTACATTACACAAACCCTGAACCATTGCAAAATGATGGTGGTTCTCTCTCTCTCTCTCTCTCTCTCTTTATTTTAATCATGCATTATCAACTACATATAAAGCAGCAACCAAAAACTTAGGGTTATCTGAGATAGGTAAAAGTAAGAGTCAGAAAGAAAGTCATGCTAAAAAGGCGCTTCACTACCCCCCCCCCCCCCTGAAAAAAATAAAATAAGCCAAGATTAGAAAAAGGAAGGTATTGTCCTGAAAAAACACCTAAAATTCGACTTGTATTTATGAAACAGTGCTTGTAAACTTATTCAAAAAGCTGTTTTAAACTGTCAGGAAACCTGAAGTCAGTGTCAATCAATGCAATGATTAAAATAATCAGAATCAATTTCAAATCGTCGAGGTCATTTTTATAAAACAATCATTGCACCTTATTGTACTGTTGCTTATTTGTATATCCTTCTCTTTTGTTTTCAGCTTAAAGATGAAATCTCCAAGAAGTTCAGTACCACAGTTGAGCAATTATGCCTCATCTTTGCGGGGAAGATTCTCAAAGATAATGATACCCTAAAGCAAAACAGTAAGTATTCTGACTTTCAATGTGTTTCAAGATTTCCAAGATTCCAAATAGTATGTACCGTATTTGTCGGCGTAAAGGCCGCAGTATTTTTGGAAGAGAAAATATCAAAAAGTCGGGGTGCGGCCTTTACGGCAAAAGAGTATAAAAAAAAAATCAATCAAGTCAAAACCAGCACGAATTTGCTCATATGGGACTACGAACGGTACAATAACTATACCACTATGGTACAGGACATTTCAACACATCTTACCCACAATTTTATCTTGCATTGTTGACATGAATACGAAAATAAATTGCTAAACCAACATTTGCCAATAGATCTTGATCTAAGTTTGTGCCAATGCATTGCAAAAGTAAAGGAAGGGACCATTTAACGGACCTGCCGCGAAGCATCCATCCAAAGTCGCCATTTGTTTTCCATTTCATGCAGTTTCGCATTACACCGTACATTGTGGTAGGGGTATATATCGGACACCAAATCTGCCCTCGATCACTTTTTGAGCTAAACTTCGGGTAAATTATAAGAATATTGATGAATTTGGTATTAGTTTGTAAAAAAAAAATAGTGTTTTACGAGAAAATTACGATTATTTTGTTTTGTCCGTTGGTTTTTTTTTCCTTTTTTATTTAAATTTTTTTTTAAATTTTTTTTTTTTCCTCTTTGAAATGTCAAAGTTGGGGTGCGTCCTATGCGGCGGTGCGGCCTTATTGCCGGCAAATACGGTACTCCACAGAAGCCTTTTAAAAAAAATAGAAAGTAGAAAGCATCTTTCATTCTTTTCATTCTGGAATAAGTTGCATTTGAGTTTGTAAGTTTAGGGTGTACATGTAGGCAAGCCCAGGTTATATGATCTTTTCTGTCTCATGCGTTACATGAATGAAGGAAAATAGACATAAACATTGCAGATGACGTTTTCTGTATCTTTGGGTCTTATTCAAGCTCTTGTAAGGCCATAAACTGGATAGAATAATATGGTAGACATCTGTATTTGCACTAAAAATTGTGATGATATGGGTAAATATAGTGTAAAACGTTTTGTATCTGCTCGCAAGCATTTGTGTAGACAAGCTTTTTCTGTACACTTAATGATAGGGTTGAAGTCTGGTGAAGATGTCTTTCCTTGATTATTTTGTGTGAGATCTAGGTTATTTGCATCACTTTTCTTGTATTAATCCTTTATAAAGATAGCACTGTATTGTGTCATTTGTACTGATTTTGGATGGCTTGTATTTAGTCTTTAATAATTGATACATTTGAAATTGTATTTAATTCTCATTTAATCCCAGATATCAAAGATAACATGGTTGTGCATCTGGTCATCAGGTCGAAAAAGGTAAACCAAAATTAATGTTTGACATAATTCAGATTTAGATGAATATAAGGTAGAATTATTACATTGATATTGCTTTACCATGTAGTTTAGATATTTACATAACAAATTTCAGATTTATATCACCAATATTTGGATGTTAATTGATTGTATCATAGGGGATCTCAACAATGCTATGTAAACTACAACTCATGGTTTATGTTGTGGAAACTGTAATTCTTGCCATTCGTTAACATTGTTTAGCCAACAGGTACATGTACATGTATCTGTATAAACTGAGTGTACAGATGAGCTTCAATATGTACCCCTAGTGCCGTACTGCTTGATGGTACTATAAATATTAAAAACTTTTCGTCTGTCGGATATAAATGAATGATATGTATTAAATTTGGTGAGTAAAAAGAAGCTACATGTAGCCAAGCTTTTTGGTCTGTATATATTCTTGAGATCACTGGCATACCAAAAAGTTTGTATGAACAACTATACATTTTGCAGTTCTGTACTGTAATGAATCCTAATGGTTTTCTCTTAAAATTGGGGCACAATTGTTGCAAACTGGTGAGGCTGCAATGCCCTAAAAATGTCTATGTATGGGAAAACAGTAGTGATTTTCCATTAGCTGTCTACATACAGTACCTACATGTATTGGCTCATGTATGTAAAAAAAAAGGGGTCGAATCTTAGATGCAACACATGGGGAAAGTTCATCCTACACTATTCTTATCGTCTTCCTAATCTATGTTACAAGCCATGTTTTAGATACATGTACATGTATGTACAGAATCAATGCAAAATCTGTAACATTGTTGCCACAGGTAGAAATTGGTGTGATTAATGAGAGTAAGTGGATCCAGGCTCTGATTGTTGTACAGTTGGGACCTGGTTTATGAACTAAATTGACTTGGGCCTAACTCCAAGACATTTCATAAAAATATGTGTTTTATATGTTAGATGTAGTTTGACACATGAATGAAAGTATCCAATCCAATCCAATCCAGGTATTTATGAAGCGCCATGACTAGTTGCCTAATCAAAGGCGCTGATGAGACTGAAAAACTACAAAAAATATCTGTTCATGATTCTAACTGGGATTTTCTCCTTAACCCCCCTCTTTCCATACTCCCACACACTCTCCAGGATCAAGCAGGAACAAGCACAGCCACCACCAGCAGTCCTGCTTCACCCGCCAACCCAGGATCCTCGTCATCGACCACCGCCCCATCGGCGAACCCGACCACAGCTGCTCCCGGTGGGAACCCGTTCCTTGGGGGGCTGGGTGGGTTAGGTGGGATGGGGGGCCTAGGGGGACTCGGTAGCATGGGACTGGATTCAGCTAACTTTGCCGAGATGCAGCAACAGATGCAAAGACAGGTAAGCAGAGGCTTCAGCATGTAGTGGAGTATTAAGTTACCAGTTTACAGTTTAAATGATGTTGTAGCATTATACATGTAGCTAGGCTGGGACATTGTGCTAAACCTCTCATCTTAATAAACATGCTTGAACATTCTTTTTAGTATTTAGAAATCATATTTCACAAAACAAGCAATAATTGTTTATTCCAAACTTCATATGTTGATTATTATACTGGATTCACGCTGAAAGATGCAATTCATGGATATATATAATAACTTAAAAACACATACAAGTACAATCCTGAGAAATCGAATAAAAGTTGTTACGTTTAGTGGATCAAATAGCAGATTCAGGGATGTGTGGATGGAGTAAAGAAGTAAAGAAGAATGAAGTACAGTATTATGGGGCAGAGATATCAGTTTATAGACTGACCAGGTTAGTAGCAGGATACATGTAAGCTTTAACTTATTTCAAGGTCCTTGGGACCAACCAAAAGGTTTCATGGAGGGCTGAGTTGTAGTAGTACATATGTACTGTATTGTGTGTAGTATATATGCCACACTGACCATCTCAGAGAGAGAGAGAAAGAGAGAGAGAGAGAGAGACAGAGAGAGAGAGAGAGAGAGAGAGAGAGAGAGAGAGAGACAGAACAACACATGGACATTCACACAGAAGAAAATAAAAACTGAACTGTGATTCAAATTGTACTTACATGTCAGACTATGATTTTCTAATCCCACTTTCACCAACATTTTTTGTAAAACGGAGCGTATGGCATATTATTTAGGATCCCCCCCCCCCACAAACAAAAGTCATCGGCCAAATCACACTTATGAGTGACATTTTGTTGATACTCTATTATAGGTGAGATAAACACACACATGCACACATAAATTGAGGTTCTGTCAATTTTTCAAAGTCTTGCTTCGCTCTGTGTGTGCATAGCCCTATCAATAATCATTTCAATACAGATCATATGCATGAGAAAAGGAATCATGGCTTCTTCTCCTTCTGTTCTGGGGAGTGTTTCACAAAGACTAAGATCGACTTTAAGTTGGACTTAACTATAGCAGTCCATTCATGCTGTTGTTTGCTCTTACCATTTACTGGCACTGGTCTCTCAAGTGACATACAATTCTCGTGGTCATACATCTACAGAATTTATGTTTTTTGATAATTCATTTTTGAAGGAAAAAATGTTATATAAAAATCATAATTGAGAGGCCAATAGTGATAGCAACCAGTGGCGTAAATGGCCTGCCATAGTTAAGTCCAACTTAAATTTGATCTTAGCCTTTGTGAAACACCCCCCCCCCCTTTAATCCAAGCTAGAACATCACCTTTGAACATTGCTCTTGTTTCTTTCTATCTTCTAGTTGATGAGTAACCCAGACATGATGAGACAGGTCTTAGATAATCCCATGGTACAGAACATGATGCAGAACCCGGATATATTCAGGAACCTTGTGCTTGGCAACCCTCAGATGCAACAAATCATGGAGGTATTAACACAAGTTGGCATAGCTTCTATGATGAGAGTATTTTTAACAAAATTATTTTGCATTTGTTCTGGTATCTGTAAATATTGTCATTTTAGGCAAATTATTCATGGGATAGGAGAACTTCATTTTTCAGGAAAAAGATTTATGATATCAGTCCTGTGACAGGCTGCCAATTAATCTTTCCTGAAAAATTACAATGACATGATAACTCTCATACTCTTTGTAAATATTATTACTATTATGTTATGTAATTCTTTATCTTTTTATTTAGTGTAAAATACCAAAGCTTTGTATTTAATGATAGAACAAAATTTAGCCTGGATGTAGAATAGTTTTTAGCTTAAGTATGTATTCAATAGTTTTAGTATTTATTCATTACATTTTCATATTTATTTATTACAGCTTCTATGATGAGAGTTGTTGTGATACTCTGTGATAGTGGTACCAGACACGATTGGCATTTAATGCTATTTTCTGGTCCCAATTATCCTTTCCATGTTAAACATTCACATTTGATTGTTATTTTGATGTACTTTTTGTTTGATAATAAACTTCAAACTTCGACTATCGAAACCTATCTCACAATGTCAGTCTTGATTCTCCCTCCCACAGAGGAATCCTGAGGTATCGCACATGCTGAACAACCCTGAGGTGCTCCGTCAGACCATGGAGCTTGCTCGTAATCCGGCTATGATGCAGGAGATGATGAGAACTCAAGACAGAGCACTTAGCAATCTAGAGGTGAGCACAAGATGATGCTGATGATGATGATAATATTTCACAGCATTTGTATGGCGCCATATATCTGTTTGAAAAACATTCAAAGGCACAAGCTCCTCCAATAAAGTTAGCATTTAAATGCCTGAAGGAAGATGTGAGTTTTGAGTGAAGCTTTGAGGTGGTCCAGGTTGTCAATTTCACAAATAAATGGTGGGAGGGATTCCACAGACGAGGAGCAATAGAGGAAAATGCCCGGTCTCCATATCCCTTGAGATGAGTAATGGGCATCTGGAGAGTAAGGCCAGATGAGCGAAGTCCAGGGCAAAGATGACACCACTCAATTAAAGATAACACATATCCTGGAGTCTGACCATGAGTTGGAATAGTGTAGTCGGTGAAGTGTCTGCCGTTCAAACCAGGGATCATGGGTTCGAATCCATCCCATAATAACAACCCCCTCACCAGATAATAATAATGAAACGTTTTTGGTATGCGCATAACACATAGGCATAATTGCATGTCTCTGTTACCTTTCAATAATGTTAGTGTATTAACAGTAGTATGCTCAGGGGTGTGTTTCACAAAAACTAAGATCAAATTTAAGTTGGACTTAACTATGACATGCCATTCATGCCACTGGTTGCTCTCACTATTGGTCTCTCAATTATGATCTTTAGATAATATTTTTTCGTTCAATAATGAACTACCGGTATCGAAAAAAATGTAAATTCTGTAGATTTGTGACCAAAATTTATATGTCCCTTCAGAGACCAATGCCAGTAAACTGCAAGAGCAAACGGTCGCATGAACGGTCTGCCATAGTTGAGTCCAACTTAAAGTCTATCTTAGTCTTTGTGAAACACTCCCGAGGGATCAAGGGTTCAAATCCATCCTAGAATAACAACCCCTCACCTAATAATAATAATTAAACGTTTTTGTAAAGCGCATAGCACATAGGCATTATTGCATGTCTCTATGTGATTAACAGAACAGAATACAGGAGTGGAAATGGTGCAATGGGTTCATAATTGTGAGATTTGACAAAGTGCTAACCATTTATTTAGCACTCTAATAGAACCAGGGCGGTGTTTCACAAAGATTCTAAGTTGGACTTAATAATTATGAAAAGCCGTTAGCATCTTTGAAAATATTTTGTAAAAGTTATTTTGAAAGGCATAAAATGTTGATTCAAATCATTCATATTTTCTATCATCAAGGAGATTTCATGTTCTTGATGTGGAATTTATAAAAAAAGTCTGAAATACTTGAATTTCTGCTTTTGAATATATTTCATTTTAAGGCTCCAATGGCTGTCCGTAATTTTTAAGACCAACTTAGTGTTAAGTTCTACTTAGGATCTTTGTGAAACACCCCCCAGGGGTCTTGATTCTCCTGGGGCTAATTTGGGGTTTTAGGGGGTTATAAATGAGTCTGAAATGAGATATTTATGATCTGAATGTATGTACATTGGCAGTATAGGAGGTAACAGCACTGACAAAGAGTTGCATTTCGTGGGTAACAGCAGTGGGTAACAGCAGGGTATTGTATCCGTCATGAAAAAACAAATTAATTGGATCTTTGCATGTTGTGATTGTGATGAAATGCATTTTAACAATGGTCTCATGTAAATGAATTTTCATCAGCTGTAACATCTGATGTCACGATATGTGTACAGTAGTACTAGATTCATAGGTACTGTTCATGGCGCATGAAATCACACGCACAATGTCCATACTATATTAATACATTGCAAATTAGCACATATCTACTGTCTTTCGCATTGGCGTATGACGATGTCATTATTAATGGTTTGATATTGGCGCAAATTCATCACTTCAAAATCGTTTGTGTGTGCAGTTACCGTACTGTGCAGTTACCGTACTGTGCAGATGACCATCAGTATATCAGCAGTAAAAGGTTTTTTGAAGATGACAGATATAAACCAAATGTATTCTGCCTATATTGGAGTTTCTGGTTAAACGTGGTTACGTGGAGAGGACTATTTTCTATCAGGGCTGCGCCAGTCATGGATAGTAGTCGTAGCCACGTTGACTTGGGGACCATAGTTCCAACCTTCCCTCTCTAAGCAGTATATATTTGTAACATGGGGTAATCTCAGACGGGGTCATTGTGCAAAATAGGTAAAGAACCACTGTAGGTAAGGGCATTGGAAACAAGAAATATTCTCTCCTGAACATTATTTTAAACTATGCGCAATATGCAATTTATCAATGTCACGTAAATTCAAATCGTTGCTGACATTATTTTTAAGGTATGAATGTGTTAGCAAAGAAAAATATACTAAGCTGGAAGAATTACTGAATATACTTCAATTTTATGTTTCACTGTTTAATATGTTTCACTGAATCATTGAGTAATTAATATAAATACGGTATGTATTGAAATATGGAAATAAAAACCACGCTCGAGGATAAGAGAAAAAAAATTAAAGAACCACTGGCTTGACAAAAGGTGATATATTTTGTATTGTTTGTAAATCTCACAACATTCTCACTTTGCTTGTTTCCCCTGCAGAGTATACCAGGTGGTTATAATGCGCTACGGAGGTTGTATACCGACATTCAAGAACCCATGCTGAATGCTGCCCAAGAACAACTAGGAGGAAACCCCTTTGCAGCTCTGGCAAACAGTAAGGTTATCTTATACAAATATTATTTTGTTTGGATTAACTGTAAGCCCAAGGGTATATAAGAGTGTAGCTGCAATTGTTTGAAGCCCTCTGCGCACACAAAATAAATACTGATAATAATAATAATAAACAAGTAAATAAATGAATAAATAAATGAATTAGAAAATGAATAAAGTAAATAAATGAAAAAATTTAAGAACAAAATAAATTAAATGAGAAATACAAATTTAAAAATAAAACGTGGATATATAAATGAAAATAGGTAAATGAATAAATGGAGAGATGGAAAAAGGGAATTGGGAAAACAAATAAACCAAGCTTGAGTTTCCCATGCACCTTGGAATATTGTTATTGATTTCCTCTTACTGCCTGCATATGTTTTATTTTATGCAGGTTTCATCTTTTACAATACAAATCCTTCCCTGTGCTTATTTTACTTTAGCTAACTCATCAAGCCAACAGGGTGTGGAGAACACGGATCCCCTGCCCAACCCCTGGGCTCCTCCTGCTTCACAAAGGACCTCAGCGTCGACCACCACTTCAAACACTACTTCAACCAGCAGTACATCCAGTACCACGTTGCCTGGTCTCTCTGGCATTCAACCAGGTGAGTTTCAACATAGCCTCCCAGGGGGGTGATTCTTACTTTTACTTTACTTTATCAGCCATTGTCAATCCACTGCAGGATGAAGGCCTCAGCATGATGTTTCCAAATGCTTCTGTTCAGCGCCTGTTGGTGCCAATTTGTCTGCCCCAGAACTGTTGCAGCTCGTCTCGCCATCTTTTTCTTTGACGTCCCCTGTTTCGTTTTCCCTCATATGGTGTCCAGTGAGTGATTGCTGAGCTCCAGCGATTGTCATTACTACGGCTGATGTGGCCCGCCCAATTCCATCTCCTTCTTTTCACTGTTTCAAGGATGTCCTGGACTTTTGTCTGTTCCCTGATCCATTTGTTCGTTTTTCTGTCTTTGTATGTGATGCTTAGAATACTTCTTTCCATGTTGTGTTGCGAGGCTGCTAGCTTTCTTTCCATTTTTGAAGTTAGCGTCCATGTTTCTGCAGCGTATGAGATTGCTGGGATGATGCACTGGTTATATACTTTCTTTTTCAGGCATAATGGAAGTTTGCCTTTCATGATGGTGCTGTATCTGCCAAAGGCTCGCCATCCAGCTTTGATTCTTCTTCTTATTTCGTTGTCTTGATTTTTGTCTTGATTTTTGTCTTGGAGGGAGAAACGTTGCCCTAAGTAGATATACTCCTCTACTTGCTCCATTTTGGTACCGTTCACTTGGATTTGTTTTGGGTCTTTGGCTGATCCTGCCATGACTTTAGTCTTGTTCATGTTCATTTTGAGGCCTGTTAGTTGGCTTGCATCGTCCAGTTCTTGCAGCATTGTTTCGAGGTCGTTTAAGTGATTCACAAAGATCCTAAGTTGAACTTATCTCTAAGTTGGACTTGAAGCTAACATTCTAAGACAATCCCAAATATTGAGATAATTACATCAATAGAAATTTTTTAATCCCCAGAATAACACTAAATGGTGTCTAACCGACAAAACAAGTTCAGAATGGTAAATTTATGCAAGTAAATTCCACCAAAATCTTGAAGTCTGAAACACGTAATTGCTCGTAGAGTCGGGCCACTATTCGTGACGTCTCAAACGGTGATCATTGGCTTAGTGAGAGTGAATGGCAGTGATATGCCTACGTAAATGCTATCCTGTCAGAGCTTACCTTTTTTGTTGTTAAAGATAAACTTGAGTTCTGGTAAAAAAAGAAAATGAATTCTCACAGAATCTAACGAAACTTACAATGAATGTTCAAGATTACAAATAAATGTCATGTGCCAAACAATTTTGGAAGAAAATGTATACTGGCTGAGTAATGAGCATAGAAAGATAAGGAAATCAGGGTAGTACTAGCCCCGACACTATGTGTGTTGTCCCATATACATATTTCTGTGTAAGTGATTGTTACTTTACCAAGACTCTGCCAAATTTATGATGATTTTGATGACTCCAGAACCTTGCATTAAACACCATTACTTACATGCTATATGATCAACTTTTCTGATCCATTCCACACCTTTTCTTTCACAATGCAATCGCATTACCAGAACTCAAGTTTATCTTTAATGAGTATATGTGATGGACTTTCTGTTTTCATTTGAATAAAGAATAACGGAGCAACACTTTCCAGTCGCTGATTTTTTTTTATATCCTCATATATTCTCTTTTTTGGTAGAGTTTTAAGACGATTTTACTGCTTGAGTTTACTGAATAGGCGGGTGCACATATACATTATCTTGTCATCAGATAAGGTACAGGAGCAGTTTTGTAAAAACGAATAGGCCTAGTACTATACCATATATCTTGTGTGATTTCTTACAGGTGCTAACATTTACAACAGTCCTGGTCTGCAGAGTCTGATGCAGCAGATCCAGAGCAACCCTAGCCTGATGCAGAACATGATGCAGGCTCCCTACATGCAGTCTATGATGAGAAATATGGCAGATAACCCAGATATGGCAGCCCAGGTAAATCATTTTAAGGTTTAGAGATTAAAGGTACTATGTCCCACTTGCAGGCCCCAAAAATTAAAAGGTTAAATTCCAACGGCATTTGAAAGACAATAATTATTTAGATCTTCCCTAATAAAGAAAGGGCTTGAAAATGTCTGTTTTGGGGAAAATAATGACCATTAGTTGTTGAATCGATTAAAGTAATAGTCTGATTTTCAGATCCTTGTACCGAATGGTCGTACGTTTTATGCTGCACAAACATTCAATCAGTTTAATTTTGGCCATACAAGTAGTGGGTTGTTGGTGTACACAAATGTCAATGTACCTGATACAGCTCATTTTATGTATGTTATTACCAAAGAAAAAAAGATGTCAGTCAGTCACTCAATAGTGTCTGACAGTAAAGTCTAGCAAAGTTTCTGTCGCACAAATTCTGCACTTTTCAAATGTCGATGTGCCTTTGGGGAGAGAGAGCACCACGCAAGGTAGAGTGATTCCACATAAGTTTCTACCATGATGCAGGGTCAATCCAAAAGTCCTTTAACGCCTGTCTGTACTAGTTTGGCCAGGGGGATTAGACCTCCATGCAAGGTCACTGACAGGTTGTTATCGCATCAAATCAGCTCTCAATTAACATAAGAAAAAGAGGATCATGGGGACCAACAGGTACCGATTAGGCATGGTTTGCTATATAGAAGGCGCAAGTAGTGCAGTGGGGCTTTATAAAAGTTGATGTGTCCTTGGGAAGCGAGAGCACCACGCAAGGCGGAGCGATTCCAAATCAGTTTCTCCCATGATGCGGGGTCGATCCCAAAGCCCTTAAAGGATGCCTTTAGAATGTCCCAAGACCACTTCTCCCTCAAGATCTTACTCCCACTTGCAGCTCCCCATAGGGTGGTGAAGTGTGACGTCATAAAAAATCTATATTTAGAATTTCTCAATTTTTTTCTTCATTTTCCGAAAAAGCATCAAAAATAATGTCCAAATGTCAAAAACCAATTGAATATGTTAAGTATTGGCTGAGATATAACCATCTGAATAAATAATTTTCCTATAGGAACTCAGTGTTATATGCTCTGGTTCATAACCATTACGAGCCAGAGCAAAAAACACTGAGTTCCAATAGGGAATATATTTATTCAGATGGTTTTCGACGTTTGGACATTATTTTTGATGCTTTTTTTGGAAAATGAAGAAAAAAATTAAGAAATTCTAAAAATAGATTTTTATGATGTCACAGCTTCGGTATTCCATGGAAAATGCACTTTGGTTTCTGGGCAACCTGTCCCACCCGGCAACGTTGGGACTTGCAGAGATAATATGTCTTCACCTAGCAACCCAGCAGACAAATAGATTAGAGATTCAAACCATCTCTTTGCTATTTTCCAATTCTCTTAGGTGATGAGGAATAACCCACTGTTTGCTGGTAACCCACAGCTTCAGGAACAGATGACTACGATGATGCCATCCTTCCTTCAGCAAGTAAGTTCAAAACATTACCTGGATTTACTTCTCTAGTAATGAAACTAAATTTTCATAAAACTTGTCGAACCCATCATTACAACTTTTTATGCATACTTAAATGTATGTTAATTTGATTTTTTTTTGTATTCATTTTTATTTCTTTGCTTGATTGTATATATGTAAATTTCAGTATTATTTATCATTTTACCTTGCAAATTAAGCCTAGACTAAGTCTTCTAAAACAATGCATATTAAAAAAACAGTTAAAGTATTCTCCAATTTATTGATTTCTATAAACAGATGCAGAATCCCGATGTGCAGCAAGCTATGACGAACCCTAGGGCTATGCAAGCCATCATGCAGATACAACAAGGCATGCAACAACTAGCTACAGAGGCACCAGGGCTACTACCTGGGTACGTGTTATAGTAAAGAGATAATAATAATAATAATACTCAGTTTTTATATATCGCTTATTACAATCACTTAGCGCTTCCAGACTTTGGAGATTATAATAATAATAATAATAGTCTAATAGTCCACTTTAAATTTTATTAAACCGAAACGGAAATTCTTTTTGCCCAATTGATCGTGAGCCCGGCAGCCACTGAGCAGCGCCAGATCGACGTTACTCTATCCCTTATTGTTGAACGCCAAACAAGGTAGCAACAACTTCCATCTTTTAATGTCTTTTGGTATGACCCCGGCTTTAGCTTTGCTACCATTACGGCGCTCTAGTATTTCAAAGAATTAATTCCTGCCAGGTACCCATTTACATCACCTGGGTTGAGTGTGGCAAATGCAGATCAATGTCTTGCCAAAGGACATTAGTGCCACGGCGGATCTCGAACCACGGACCTTGTGATCGACAGTCCGGCGACTTAACCACTCGACCACAGCACCTCTACATATACTTTCTATCCAAATTTCAAATGATACGAGATGTTTGAAGTGCACTCATCTCCATAGATGTCTATTCATTTGCAATGTAAATAATAGGTTGGGTTCTTAAAAAGGCGACCAATTTTGTGAACTGTTTTACAATTATTATGTTATTGTTGAAGAATATTAAAGAAAGAAATATCCACTGATACGGACTGCCCTCATATTCAAAACTACTACAAGATGTGGTTGACATGTGGTTTGGAGCAAACTTTTATGCCACATGTTTCTGTAGTCCCATATACATATTTCTTTGTACACTGCATGTGACTTTTGGCAAGACTGAGTCAATTTCTTATTATTTGAAAGATGGGCACATGTATAAATCCTATGAGTCTGCTTCTTGTATGCATCAAATGGAATTTCAAAAATTGCTAAAGGAAGAATTCACACCTTTGGACCTGCAGTCTATACACATTCCTTGTTTTATTTCACTTTTGAATGCATGTCTGATGGATCGGCTTAAATCGGGCCTTGAGTCTGATCGTGTGAAATATCAGAACCAGCGTCAGTTGGTGCAGTTAAGTGTTCGCGCTGCCAAAACGTCATATAACTCTATGCTGGTTGAAAGCTGCACAAGTACAAGACAGCTGTTTAGAGTTGCAAACGTTTTACTTAATAGAAGTAAGAAATCTCTCCTTCCTACTTATGCGAATCTTGCAGATCGTTTTAACAAATTTTTTGTGGAAAAAATTCAGAATGTCAGATCAGCTCTTACTAATATCGGAGGGTTTGAAATTCCTTTGATTACAGAGAAGACACTAGATAAGCTATCTCCAACAACACCTAATGAGATTAAGTCGATCATAATGAGTTCACCTTCTAAATCTAGTGAACTTGACCCCATACCAACATTGCTTTTGAAACAATGTCTCCCTGCTATTATACCATCAATTGTAACTATAATTAACACAAGTCTTGGTTCAGGGTTAGTTCCTGACAGTATGAAGATTGCAGCAGTGCGCCCCAGCTTGAAAAAATCCAATTTGGACAGTGAGTGTCTTCAGAACTATAGACCTATCTCAAATTTGTCGTATCTGTCCAAACTCACAGAACGAGTGGCTTTCTCACGTCTTCGCACATATCTTATTGAAAATAATTTAATTGATAATTTTCAATCTGCCTACCGCCCACACCATAGTGTGGAAACTCTGCTAACTAATCTTGTGGACTGTGTCCTCTCCGAAATGGATAAAGGTAACATTACTTTTCTCGTGCTACTTGATATGTCAAGTGCTTTCGACACTATTGACCACACAATACTTGTTAAGAGACTACAGTCTCTTGGGGTAACAGGCACTGCGTTGCAGTGGTTTTCATCATACATTCATAAAAGAACCCAGTATGTCTCTGTAAATAACTCTCAATCTGACAAAACTTATCTTTCATACGGTGTGCCACAAGGGTCTGTTGGTGGCCCGTTAATGTTTTCTGTTTACCTTGAGCCAATCAGTACAATAATTAGAAAACATAATATAAAATATCATTGTTACGCTGATGACATTCAGCTTTTCATTTCTGTACATCCTTCCTCAGATGCAATTGCCGATGCTAAGAGAACTTTAGAAGCCTGTATTCATGACATGAAAGGCTGGATGGATTCCAACGGTCTTAAAATAAATGAAAATAAAACTGAGTTTATCATTTTGGGCTCTAAGAACTCTTTACTGAGAGCAAATCATACTCATTTAAGCTTGCATCTAGGTGACAAAGTTCTTAAGCCAGCCTCAAAGGTCCGTAACCTCGGTGTGATATTTGACAATAATATGTCATTTATTGAACATGTATCTAGCATATTAAAGTCTGTAAGATATCAACTGCGGAACCTTGGGTTCATACGAAAATCTCTGACTCAAAAAGCATGCGAACAATTAATCCATGCATTAATCTCATCCCGCTTAGATTTTTGTAATTCTATTCTATTTGGACTCACAAAACAGCAGCAAGACAGACTGCAATCCCTCCAAAATTCCAGTGCAAGACTCCTTACTTTCACACCAAGAATGTCTTCTATTACGCCTATACTACGCTCTCTTCACTGGCTACCTGTCCAGAAAAGGGTCCACTTTAAAATCATGTTACTTGTTTATCGGGCTCTCCATGGAATCTCGCCACAATACATTAAAGACTCACTACACTCCTACAATCCAACTCGTACCTTAAGATCTGGAAGTGATAATTTGCTGCAAATTCCCCGTACCCGTCATTCATGGGGAGACCATGCTTTTTCGCATGCAGCAGCCAAATTATGGAATAAGCTTCCCTCATCACTTCGCTCTATTGCAACATACTCTGCCTTTAAAACTCGTCTTAAGACTTACCTATTCCATCTGTAACCCAGTATTTCCTTAAGTTGTATAAGTTTATTTTACTAAATCCATAATTGATATGTTATTTGTATATACATTTGAAATTAATTAGTTATCACCCTTTAGTCTCATTGGCTGCCTGTGTGGGGCCTGTTGGCCTCAGATGCTAGAGCTTCTGTGAATAATGTGCTGACTGGGCTAGTCCCTTAAATTGTCAGTGAACGGAGCAGCTGGAGGGCACCGGGCCCCACCAGGCAGAGCTGAGGATTGAAATGGGTTATAATAAAATATCGCAAAAAATATTGCAAAGTTATTTACTTTACTTGTATCAAAGAGAACTGTTGCTGAGCTAGCGCCATGAGCGTCCCTGGACGGTGTGTGCGCTCTATAAGTTTACACTATTATTATTATTATTATTATTTTGTATCCAATACTCCATATGAGTACTTCTCAATCCTTGCTCTCCTACCTCATTATTCACTTGTTAAAGTCATTTCATTTCTTCCTATGGCAGCATGACTGGGGCTGGTCCTGCTTCAACCACAACGACGGGCTCTACCACAGCCCCCGCAACGGGCACAGCAACCACCGCCCCATCTACCGCATCCCCCACGGTACCCTCAACAACTGCAGGGACGACCACCACCACCACGCCCGGTGCACCTCCCAATCTGACCGGTCTACCGCCGGTTGCCGAGCCTCAGTTTAATGCGATCATGAGCCAGATGTTACAAGCCCTGGGGACAGGTGGACAGCACGGTTTGGGGATGGGCGGACAGCGAGGTTTTGGGATGGGTGGACAGCAAGCTTCTACTCCGGTAGGACTTGACATCTTATCTACCTTATCATACTATCTGCTGTTTGATTTTTGTTTTGACACAGAGCCCTCAGTGATTGAAGTCTTTGAACTGGAGGGGTATACTTGTTTGAAAACTGTAGATACATCAATGAATAACTAACTAACTAATTAACTAACTTACTAGATAGATAGATAGATAGATAAATAAAATTAGTACAAATTAAAAGCATGAAAATACATTCAATTAAAAAGAGGAACATTGTACATTTCAACACATCATACAATACTTATATAAAAAGGGTAAAGAGAGATACAGAAACAAAACAAATTATTAATTTTGAGGCCTGTTCTTTCTGTTTTGTACAGTCTCCAGAGGATCGGTTTGAGCCTCAGCTCCAGCTGCTAGCCACGATGGGGTTCGTCGATCGCGAGGCCAACATTCGAGCGCTGACGGCCACAGGGGGCGACGTCAACGCAGCTATCGACAGACTAATTCAAAGTTGACAACCTTGACCCTATCACTCCTGTTCAAACATGATCTTCGCAGTGACAGTTTGGAGGTACTGGCGTAATGATTAAAATGTCGATCCCATACCTAGTGTCTGTGTGTCCAATTTGCATCAGGTTATCAAACATATAAAGCAGATCCCAACAACCTATGGTAAGACATTTGTATATTATAAATAGATTGATAAGAAATAAGTTAATAGTAACGTTGAGAAAATAACTGATTCATTCAAGACCCCACTGTAATTTATGTTGTGATTAACAAATTATTGATATTGTTTATACATGTATATCATCCTCATATCATGAGAGTAATATAAATAAATGGCCATAGTTGTATTAGACAAGTTAACGTGATTGGTATTGTAATTATATGACGTGTAAAATCTGTTTCTGCAAACCATTGCCTTAAAAACACTTTGCTACTTGCATTTCGTTTTATATTGATATGCACTTTTCAGTTAATTTTGAATAGAAATAGTTGCACCCCTTGTTATTTCTTATCTGTATAGCATAAAGATCTTTAAACCTATGGATGATACAAGTTAATTGGCACATGTAGTTTGTTTATCTCGCAGTTCTGTCTGGCCAAGTGAATATAAGGTGTTCTAACCAAGTCATGGGTTTTATGAGTACCTGTCTGATATCAATGATTTACACGATAATTTATCTTTTGATAAAAATTCACTGATTTAAAAACATCTGATTAGATTTCAGTCACATTTTCCTTTTTGTTATAAAAAAGAGAGGAAAAAAGCCAACTTTTGCCCAAACTTAATATGCTCCAGAGGGAATGATGAAAGAAGGAGGGGTTATAAACATTCTTGCAAAAGTTACTTGGGGGACGAAATCAAGTACCGGTATGTTTTGAAGCACGGGGAAACTGCGCATTTTCATCCTCAGAGGAAAGAGTAGGTTTTATTTACCGGTACCGGTAGGTGGATGGAAAGTAATTATTCTATTGCTGTAGCTTAGATATAGAAAATGCACCCAAGTAAAGTTTAAACTAAACACAAAATATAATCGGGCTAAAATCCTGTGGCATGTAGAGGCCCAGTTTTGTCCAATACATGGTATTTCCTATAGGTAGTAGATATTTATGTGGTGATGGTTTATTGTGTATAATTTATGTTATGGCAGCTATATTTAATACCTCCTGGTTGTGTGGCTGCTAGTTTATCAATGATAGTTCACCGCTAGTCAGCAGCTCATAATTTCCCAGTAGGTCTACACATATATGGATCCTGGTAATTATCCTTTAAAAATTATAGTATTTCTTGTATTTGTCCAGAAACGTATGTTTCTAAAAAAAATTGTGAATCTGTTAACTTTTTTATTTTTCACCATTCCTTTCCATTTGCCTTTTATCAGACAAAAAAAAACATAATTATGTACATGGCAAGTTTCTTTTCCCCCGACTTATATCTTGTTTGTTCATTTTTTATATATACGGTAGAGGAATCTTTATTAACTCTATTGATACATGCATATAGAGTGGTATATCCTAAATCGTAATAAAGGAATGTGGTATGCCATTATCAACCAGTACAACATTGTATGATTAGCAGTCCAAGTGAATCAAAGGATGGATGAATACTGTCACAATCAGCGAATTAATCATCACAAAGAAGTCAAGGAAAAGAATAGAAAAGCTAATCACAGTTAATTGGTATTCCCTTTTATATTTTAATATGAAGAATCTTTTTCTAAAAGTGCATGATACTTAAATTCAATATTTAAATCTGAAAGGTTGTAACCTTTGAGGACAACTCACTTTACACCAGTGCTGAATATGGCCAGTAAAAACTGGCTGTTAATTGCTTTTACACTGTATGGGAACGACTAGTCGAGTTTTATTACAGTTATGTGCTTATTATTCTGGTACTGGTTTCTAACATCTTTGTTTCAGTAGGCATCATATGTTTGTTATATTTTGACATTCATCTTGTTTTGAATCTGTGAATTTTCCGTAGTAACCAGAACTCGGAAAGAAGAATATCAGGTAGTTGCTTTATTTATGAATATTTTACACGCTTAGAAAAAAAATAATCATCTGTTAAGATATTAACAGACAATATTTACATTTTCACTCTATTTAGAAGAGTTTTTTAATAAATATAAAACAATTGACAGTTTTAATTAGTATGTGGCATGTAGTTTTGGGATTTAAGTCCTCCTTGTTCAGATAACTCATAAAGAAATCTATCACAAATCATAATGTTTGAGACACAGAAAAGGCAGTGGATTTAACTTCTTGTATCGGTATTGATTGGTCAAATATTGTAAAGGCATCGCATCGGTTTCTGCTATTGTATTTGGTTCTGACACGATTCTTTTAGCCATGCACATTCTATTTTTACCAACCAACTTTCCTTGCATCATGCACATTGTATCAAGTTGTATTCGCATATTTATCCATTCATTTATTATTATAGTATGTAATTTTATTTGCCTTAATTTTTATTTCTACTTGGATTTTGTAATTTCCTTTTGATACTCGAGTGATATCGTACCTTACTTAAAACTAAGTGTTGATCCAGAACAAGTTTGTTCTTTGTTAGTCTGAATCTTTTGTAGTTTGGCGGTGTGGGTTGGGGGGGGGGGATGAGATTGGAATGATTAATGGGAGTACATGTATATGTTTTTATTCACTGTATTTTTCCCAATGAGCTGTTAATACATTTGAGCACCATCCCCTTTTCTAAGCAAACGAAAGTGCTCGTAATTCAAATTTGAGTGTAATCATTGCTTATTTAGAGTTACCTAGCTTACAAACCTACACAGTGTGACTTCTTAAAGCTATACTTTACTAGAAACACTACTGAAAAATCTTCTCTAGGGCCATCTCGGGTCAGCTGTTGCAGTATGGTCCTGTAACTCGCTGCTTCCCTAGCTGCACTGTTGGTTCTCGCATCGAGTCCTCTGTCTGCAAAGTGGGAATTAGGTTATGCACTTATGGCAAGTTGACGATGAGATAGCGCTGTGCAATAAACAGTATTCTAGGGCAGGAAGTTTATCAGTTCAGTATCGCTTTAACATTGTTTCAATCGTGTGTTACATGATAATATGTGTATTTTCTAGATGATAAATTATAGTCACGCACCCCATTACTGCAAGTCTGAAAACCTTGCTGGCTGCATATCTCTCAATGTGACCTTCTCATTGTGCTATTATCAATACTTGTAAATATTGTATGATGTAGGATTATGAAAATTGACCCGTCTGTTCTGCAGTTGCAGCGACTATTGTCCGCTTAGAGCCAAAAGGGTGTTAACTCTGTGTAAAACGATACGCCTGAATGCCCTTTTGGCTTCAAACTATGGACATTTTATCCAGTATCTGCAAGTGATAGTCTAAAGAAAAAATGAGGTTATATGTAAGATACTATTGATATTGTATATTGATGAGGATATGAACTCTTGGGAACGTTATATTGCAGTGATTTTAAAGTGGTTATTGTAAAGAAATCGATGCATTTTTTTCTCACAAAAGTGTACCTTTTTGACATCGGTATCATTTGCAAGTAATGAGAACTGCAATTTCGTAATATCTACCTTCTGTATGCCCAGTCTATACATAGTCTTCATATATATTAAAGATTATGTATCATTTATATAGAACGTGAACTGAAAGAAAACCTGTACTTTTACTTCATGTAGACCTCGTTGTAAATCAAATTTATTGCAATGATTTTGATAATGGCAGCTATTTCTTTCCGTTCTTGACCTGAATTGTTGTTGATGACTTGAAAATTCCAGTCTCCGTAAAAATAATTTTGTGTATGTTCTATATTTCTCACACCACATAAAAGCAGAGAATAAATGGTTAAAGAATTATCAAAAATTTTGTGCAAGAGAGTTGGAATTCTTTCCTCATGTGATGTACATGTACACTTCTGATCATGCAATCAACAGTTGCAAGTATTACTTTGGTAGTTTTTCTTTAAATTTTCTTCCTTATAAATAGCACTTCCTATACACTGATACTTTTTAAGTTACTTTAAAGGGACTTGGTAACATTGTTCAGATGTGAGAAAATGGTGCTAAGGTAGTGACTTCGACGCTAGATTTACAATTAAAGATAATCTGAAATTTTGAGTGAAAACGGACCATTATTAATGATAACAATTTGAAAACTGATCTGAACGATTCACAAATTCTCCCAACTATATTCAATGCTAGATGTACAATTAAAGATAGTATGAAATTTCAAGTGAAAACAGACGATTATTAATGCTAAAAATTGGGAAAACTGATCTGATCGTTCCTAAATTCCCCCAACTATATTATTTTAATTAATTAAATTTTCGGTGAATGCAAATTGTCACAAAGCAATGAATTGGCTCTATATACCATTTCAAACATTAAAAAAGCCTATTTTATGCCCTATTTTCATGGAAAAACAGTTGGAATAGTTCACACACAAAAAAAAAAAACCCACAAATATCTTTGTGGTTTGAGAATTTCTAAAGGATATTTTGCATGTTGGAGGGTTAGTACAGTAAAAGGAATATAAAACAGGTAAGTATTAAACATTTCATACAAAAACTCATCATTTTTTCCCATCAACCTTCAACAATGTTACCAGTTCACTTTAAAGGCGTGCTCTCATGTGACTTGGTAAACTTTGGCATTTAAAAACATTGTCTACCAGTATATGAATAGCAAGTTTGAATAAGAAAATGTAGCTGTATGCAACAAAGGTCCAGTCCTGT